CAGGCTCTGGACACTCGCATGCTTCTTTAAAACGGCATGGTTGCTTCCCACAAGTTAAGTTGCAGAAAGTCTTAAGGAAATGTGACTCTAAGTTGTGGTTGGATTTCACCAGCATTAGCTCAGGACGCCTCCAACTACTAGGAAACAGCAAGAAGGGATGGCACTTGTGTGTCTCAAAACAGAAAAGAAAATATTCTCAAGTGCCCACAGAGATCTTTTTTGTGCATTATAAAAGGTTTCCCCTGCCCCAGGCATTTGAGGTTATTTTCCAAAGTGCCCAGTACAGACACGGTGATAAATTAACAGAGTAAAGAAACAGCTAGCCTTAAAGCAGCTCCCTGAAAGGACAGGGATTTCTACAGAATTTTAAAAGTCTTACAATTCTCTCACATGAATTCAGACTCATAATGCAGAATTAAAGTCATAATGCACATAAGAAAGAAAGCCAGCTGGCATCCCTCCTTAAATTCAAAACAAAGACCTGGCAGAAAACCTTCTAATGCAATAGATGCAGTGAATTTATATTGAATACATTTTTAGTTAACACTATTTTACAGTACATTTTCCATGACAAAATTTCTTTGAGATTTTTCTTTTAAATGTGGACTTGGTACAGCATATTTGTTCACTTTAGGTATCACTTAGAAATATATAATGGGATAACAGTCAGACACACACATACATGCCCACCCTTGCTGGGAAATTCCTCTAAATTTGCATTTCTTTATTGTTTACTAGGATGCAGTGGAATAATAGAAAGCTCTAGATGAAATCTTAAAGTCACACTCTATAGAACAGTCTTTCTGCCATCGTTAAATAATATTCAAGGAATATTATTTAGCAGCAATTCTCTAAAGAAACCTAACTCCAGTTTAGTAGAGAAGAGATGCTGTCACCTTTGAAAACTAATAGGGACCCAGGAGGTAGCTGAAGAGGCTAAAGGGGATAAAGTAGCAATTATATCTCTTCTTCTGCTTGGCAGGTAACCACTGCTATATGCAGAGCTGCCAGTAATCTAAAATACCATGCACATGGCATTGGCATATGAGATGGAATCATTTTGCAGAACCCTGAGCATGCCAGGTTTTATTTAAAGCTTGCTTGCAGAAGGTGCCCAAAGTATATGTAAGCAGCTTCTCCTTCAGAAGGCTTTGGCATTGAGAACCTGCCACCCCATGCAAGTATGACGCTTTCCATCCCTGTATTTGCCACTCAAGGCCCTCTATCTGCACGCCATTCCAGCACAGCATATAGCTGCACATTTCCTTCTCGACAGCAATTTATTTAGTCAGAGCATTTTCTTCCCAACACTTCCATCAAAGGGCTTCCAGGGCAGTTTACAAATCAATAACAACAAGACAGACCCTTCCGCAGGCTTACAATCAAAAAGGCATGTCCAAAAAGGAAAAAGGGACAGGGAGGGGAGGGGAGGGGAGGGGGGAAAGCAAACTCTGACACTCATTCTTAAAGTTGCAGTTCTATAATGACCGGTTGGAATGGAAACAGTTCAAGATGCCAGATGATAGCTCCTTCTAGGTGGTGGCTGAAGAACAGACTGTCTGTCAGGTGTTCTTCCAGAAGCAAGGATGGGTGAGAAATTTGTCTTAGCTTGTTTTGGACCAGAATAAATCAAACCTACACTTTTCAGGATGGAGCCAAGCACAATCAGCTGTCAGATGTGCCAGGCCTTTCCAGACTTGCAGTGCAATTCAGGAAATGGCAAAAAAAAAAAAAAAATCATTCAGAAAATGTACATATTGGGGATTTGACAAACATTCATGCTCTAGTCAATGGGAGAAAATGCACAGTGTTCCATAATGTGAATAACCGATGCGTACATTCTGAAGAATGCACAAGAAACTATGCTGGATTCTCAGGTGAAAAAGGAACCACAAAACTCATGATCCAATATGGACACAAGTTAGAACGAGGTTCAGGCTGGAAAGCAAAGAACCTCCATGAGCTTTGGTTTTGCCAGTTTGAGCATCTCAAAACTTTGCTACTCCGCTCCCTCTGCTGCAGCTGGCGGAGTGGCCGCCCATAAGAAAGAGTGGGCAATTAGTCTCGCAGCACAGCCAATGAAGTAGACCCTGTTTCCATTGTCTCCTTGTGCTTATGCATCAGTCTATTCCTTACCCAAAATATTCCAAACTCTGCAAAAAAGCCAAATAAGAGATTTGCTTTTCCTATGAACATCCCCGGCAACAAGGCAAAAACATCTGGGCTGGTTCTACTCCATTGCAGCCAGGTTCTACGCAAGAGAGATTCTCCGAAAGATTCTGAAAGAGCCATTTCACTAAGGTGGTCCTTTCTACCAAGCACAGTTCCTGTTTATATACAATCTTGTTTCTGAGACTATGCAGAGTTGGCTTTAGTCACACTGGCCTGTAGGGGAAGAATTCTAAGAAAGCCAAGCAATCCAATTGGAAAGCCCGTCTACCTCATGATCTACCTAGCATTTGACTGCGATTAAGCATCAGGAATACTGGACGAATGGATGTTATGGGCAGAATCCCATACTCTAGATACAGTCCTGTAGGTCCTGGGAGCGGTAGAACTTTTGTCTTTCTAAATACGCATAGAATTATGCCTTAAAGGTGCCTGCTTGATTAGAAACATATTTTCTAGGACATGCTGCTGAAAAATGAGCAAAGTGTGAAAAAAATCTCCAAACTGAAACTATTGGCAACATTCGCTCTACAGCGCCTTTGTATCACTTCAGTTGTGGTTCCCCAGCATTCTCTGAGTTGTTGATCATGCCGCTCTGTGTGACACTACTGTGCAAATGCCGGAGTGGAAGGACAAGAAAAATAAAGGATCAACAGCCACACAACTCAGAAGAGTATTTGCATTTTCCCTGGAAGGAAAAGGGATTGAGGAAAAAGGTGCTTCAACAACACTTCCGAGTATGCCATTTCACTCAATTCTGAGCAAAACGCACCACCAAAATGTTCAGCCAATTATTGAAATCAGTCCTACTGAAATCAGGTTAAATTAATTGAGGTTACCGTGTGGTTCCATTGTGGGGTTTGGGAGTCTGTCTATTGTTCTATTTATTGTTGTAGCTTATATGTTTGATATGATTACTGTTGTGTATATTTTTATTATTGTGTTACTACATTTTTAACCCATGCAATTTTAATGTTTGCTAATGGGCAGGACAGAAATTTAATAAATAAAATAATAAATACTTGTCACATTAACAGGGCTTTGGTTGCCAGGTCTCTCTTTAGTTATTTCTATTTTTGCAGAATCTTGACATGTCAAATTCCAGAATTTGTATCCCCTTCTCCTAATCAGAAAATTAAACTTAGAAAGAAACACGTGTTGTATGTGGGGAAGTTGTTGTTCCAAAGCTGCAGCTTGTGCAAAACATGGCAGATAGATGACAAACTGGGAGTAGACAAATGAAATATATAACATTGATCCTGGAGCTTTAGCATTGTCTGCCCTTTTGCTTCCAAGCCTGATTCAGGGTGCTGGTTCTACCCTATAAAACTTTACCCAAATGCTGTGTTCAGCATCTGGAGACTTCCTCCAAGAGGAATCTCCAAGGAAGGCTCAGTTGGCAGCAACAAGGAAACAAGGCCTTCTCAGTGGCCATCCCAATCATGGAACCAGTAGCAACTTTGAGGCTCACCTAGTACCTACTTTGCTTTCCTTCTGGCCAAGGGATAAGACTGCCCTCCATGCTGCGGCATTTAATGGCATATAATGGCTTTAACAGATTGGAGGGGATTATGCTTACAGTCATCTAATTTACCAAATGTATTTAGCTCTTCAAATTGCTTTTCAACACTGTTTTTAAATTTGTATGCAATTTTATGCTGCTTTTATTGTCTCTGTATTGGGTTCATAATGGATTGTTATTTACTGCCCCCCAGAGAGCTTCAGCTATTGAGTGATATATAAAGAAATAATATAAATCAGTACTAACTACTAGTGTGCAGAAAATAGGATGTTTTGAGCACCTGAACCCTTATCAAATGGTTTTATCTGTTAGCAAATGTCTTTATTATTACAAATCAGCAGGTATGGTCTCTCTTTTTAACCTAAATTGTTACTGTAGTTAAATGAGTAGGGGCTAACTTCCTTCATCTATCTGTCTATGAAATGCAAAATAATAATAAATACATATATTTACATTTAGATGTATTACGATAGTAAAGAGTTAGATCGAACAGCAAGAATATTATGTTTGCATTGTTAGTGGCTCCTGAAGAAATAATAAAACATTTTTTCCTTTGAACTCAAGAGTTTTTCCCCTTCATTGTCTCCACATTACCTTCTCCTTCACATATGTACTTCCCCCTCCCAGAAGGATTAATTGAGAAACATTTCCACCCATTCCTACACAAATACCCACCCAGAAAACTAACCACGCAACACGAAGCAAGCATGCTGTTTGGCCTCTACCCAATCTCTTTTTCTAACCCACAGGCCCCAAACACAACACCTCCCAACATGGACATCTTTGTGTGTGCAAAACATAACGAAGAGTTCACGCACAGGGAGAAACCTATGGCACACCTCTCTGCTAAATCTGCTCTGTGGCTGAATAGCCCTCCCAGAATACATTCCCAATCTTACACTACTATAATTACTTCCACCCCCCTGAAAACCCAGATGTGAGTTGGGTCCACTAATTAGCTTTTTATCTTAGTAGAAGATAGAAATGAGAGCCTCAGTGAAAGTGCTACTAATATTTGCTGGTGGGTTACATGATTCAAGGCATGCCGAGTTTTGCTGTAGAGGGTGAAGTGAAGGGAAGAAAATGCCTCTGCTGTCTTTTGCAAGCTCCTACACCGGCTGGCAGCAGTTACATTCCTCTGTCTTCCAAATTCACTTGCCCTCACACTAATTTCACACCTGGCTAGATACTGGAGTTGGATGATATAATGCAGTTTCCTAAGGGATTGTGCCTTCTCTCAAATAATCATTTAAAAAAAGGAGGGGGGAGGTATCTCAAAGGGAAAAGATAAAATCAAAAGCAGGCGCACCTGATACAGCAAGAAAGTCATCAATGCTTGTAATGTCATCCACAGCTTCAGTGAGCACACGTATGTGATTCTCCCATGTGTTTTTATACATCTCCATGTTGCTTTTCACCACCTGGCTTTTGGGTCTGGCCGCAAGAGCTAAGGCAGCATTGATAACCTGCAGGAAAGTAAATATACTAAAACTGAAAAAAAAAGACCTAACATCAGAGCATCAAACTTCATGCCCCTATTCAAAGCTCTACAGTACAAGCAATGGTCTGGATTTCCATGGATGCAGAATTGCACATGCTAACCTTCCCAGTAAATTAAAATCCAGTTACAGATCAAACCTGATGCTGGGAATGATTGACAGGAAAAGGAGAAGGGACGGCAGAGGATGAGGTGGCTAGATAGAGTCAGTGGGGCAGTCGGCGTGAGCTTAGGTGGACTCCAGGGGATGGTGGAGGACAGGAGAGCCTGGAGGAATGTTGTCCACGGGGTCATGATGGGCCAGGTTCGACTTTGTGACTAAACAACAACAGATCAATCCTATGGCCCCTAGACAGTGTTTGGGGGAAGGGGGCAGTCAAGACCGCCAGTCTACACAGTATCCTGTTAGTGCCCCACCTTGTCTGAAGTGTCCCATGTAGATGGCTGACATCTGCCATGGGGAGGAGGGAGAAGTGGGAAGGTGGAGATTTCCGCTGTCACTTCCCTGGCTCTGCATTGGATGCTCATAAGCCTCCAACCTTGAGGACTCAGCCAAGTGGATAGCATCCTTAGGAAGTAAGGCAGGGCACAAAGAGAGGGGTCTTAAGCCAAGTGCCTCCTCTCCGTGTAAGCAGAAATTTTAATCAACTGAATGCATCAGATCCCCTGCCTCCCTCTGACAAGCTCTTACTTCGTATCTATGTGGCTTGTCATGACACTGGGTCATGGCAAATAAGTCAGAATAGCAACACACTTACTTTATAAATAGGCATACACTTAGTTTAAAAAAGTACTAAAAACTTATTTAGGATGATTATAAGAAGAAAATGGTACCAAGGAATGGCTGAGAAAGTTCAAAACAGGAAAAGATAGCAAGGCAATGTATAGTGCACATATTTGTTTGTCTGTTGTATTTGCATGCTGCAACCCATAACTGTGAGACTATCTGGGCAGCTTAAATTACATTGCATACATTAAAAATAACAACAAAACAAATATTATTACCTTTATGCCTTTCAGTTAGCAGAGGTTACACCCTGCCAGAAGCAACCACACTCAGTATCTTCTTTTTATTTGCATAGTGTTACACTCAAACATGATATGTGATATAATTGTTTACTATACTGAGTAGTGCACTCTTTTATTCCTACCCTTTTGCATTTATTCATCCTTGCAGGTGTCATGTTTACTCCACAGTTTAACAAAAATCCCCAACTCATTCTCTGTGGATTTTCCAGCAGGGTATGAATGTATAGCCCCAGTGCAGCACCCATGGGCACCTGCAAAAGGACCTGTGAAGAAACCCCCAGCATGAGGTACATGGGCACCTGGAATGTTAATTTTACCAACTTTCCTTTTCAAACATACATGTCCATGAATTTGTTTGCAATGCAACATTCTAGCAATCATGCACAGGCTTTGGCAAATACTGACTAAATACCCAAAGAAATGCCTATTTGAATTGGGGTACTGTATCCCACCCACTGATATATCAAAAATGTAGGGTTCAGTCCTTTGAATTATAGGGGACAGTGTTCATTCCTCCAGTCATCAGCCTTTTAGCTGTCAAAAATGGGATATTTCCCCTTCCTTTTGTTGATTTCCTCAAAGCAGATAATTTCAAAAGAATATACACAAGAGAAAAGTAAAGAAAAAAGAAATAACATCCTCTCAAAAGGTGGCAATCACTGGACACTACCAAAATATACACTTAGAAGAAGCATTAGCCTTATTGCTCCTCCAAAAATTAACTTAATTAGATAAGCCCTGCTAAAGAGACATTGCCGCTTCCAAGAGAAATGAAACAACAATTGACTGAACAGGAAGCAGCCCGAGAGCAACAAGTAGATGGGAAAGAAGTAATTCACTATATGGGAATTTCTCACAGTTTCTCAAATTCCCCAAAATGTCACTGTAGCAACAGGGTCTGCTTCTCCAAAAAATACAACATTCCATGGTGGATATTTCAAATTCAGAATTTTAACTGGTAGAATGTTTCTTTGAAATATGAAGGTTAACAAGAAACAAGTTTCAAAATAACCCAAGTGCTGGTAAGAACCAGACTACTTCTGGTTTGGGGGTGGACATTGTGGAACAGGGAAGTTCAGAGTGGGGGTATATATTTTTTCAGTTCCAATGTCAACTCAAATGAGAGGACAAATTAAGCAACCCTCAGCATTCCTGCCAGCTTGCCCAGAAGCAGCACAAACTTCCCTGAGGGTAGAACTAACCCCTTTTGGTGGAGAAAGGAGTGAAATTCAATTTGGAATCAACTCTTCATATTGGCAAGAACTAACTCCACAATTAGAAGGTCTTAACTTACCAACTTTTCTATTACTTTCTATCCCATAAAGCCAATTCTGCCTGGCTAGCTGTTTAAAGAATATTCATGATTCAGAAGCATTTCAGGGTACTAGTTCATTGAAAGACAGAGATCTATATAATTTAGAAATTTAGAAGGCTATCTGGTTTGAAGTTAAATCTTGCATTTCTAATAGAGTCCTCCCCAATACATATATTTGGCAAACAGAACAAATAATAAAAGGAAATAGGCAAAAAATAAAGACTGCTAAAGTATATCTTACATCGCATTTGCTCTGATTATTCATATTATTAACAGAAAAGAAATTTCTAATGTACCCAAAACACATTTAGGAGAGCCTTGCAACAACACTGGTGAAGTCTGGTTTTCAGTTATCTGTGCTATATTTTTTTCAGAACTTAGGTAGATTTTCTATTTCTCCCACTTTTTTTTCAAAAACAGAAAGTATGAGTATCAGATGCCATTAACCAAAGGACCCTTAATATAAGGAGCCCATATCCCATTTCATTTTATTAACATTAAGAATCATACAATTAAAATATCTACCAATATCCATCAAGCACACACAGCTTGAATGTGGACTTTTCTTCCACATTCCCAAATAAAAGAACTCTCTGTTTTCTAACAATACCCTCCTGTTCTGTCTCAGCAACCTGTTCAAACCATAGTTGGTTAATTGGAAATGGCTAGTCTTTCTCCTCCAGGCAGGGTCAGAATGGCTTCGAGCAGGCAGTAGCAGCACGAGGTCACAATGGCCAGGCTCTCTCTCCTTAAGGCACCTGCATCAGCATGCAGGTCCTTTGGCCAGTCTAGCCCAGACTAGCCCAGCCTGGATATGACCTCTCCTCTTCCCCTGCCTCCCTCCCTCCCTGCCTCCCTCTCACACACACCCCAATGGAAGAAGAAAGTCAGAGGAAGAAGCATGTGCCATCCCTTTCTCGTAGAGTGAGCATATTCTGGAGCTTAGGGATATGGCCTCTTTCTTTCGAAGTGGTGAGAAGAACTGCGTGGACACTGTGGCCAGAATTGCATTTGTCCCTGAGGAGACACAGGAGAAGCAGAGAAACAAAAGAGGAGAGTCGGCAGATGGATCCCCCAGCTATTTCAGGGCTTCTCTTTTAGCAAGGACTGAAGGATTGCATGTTATACAAAGAGTATGGAAGATGTGCACTGGAAGGCTGGTAGAACTCCATACTTAGGATGGTGACAGAGCTGGACAGGGGTGGTGAGACAATAGGGTCAGGTGCTGAGAAGAACTGCAAACATTGGCACGATGTTCTAGGTACGGACGGATGACACAAGCACATTCAGATGTCTTCAGAAGTGTCTGTGGTGTCCCCCTTTCTCCCCTACCCCCCATTCCAGTGGCCCACTAGTGGAAGGAGGGTCTCCATCACTTAGAACCACCAAAAACTTCCTCCTTTCCCTGCATTCACTGATTGGAAAAGGCCATCTGAAGGCTTTGCCCACATAGGAATGATGACTCAGAAGGCACTTCTCCCTCCCAGTAGCAAGGACATCCTAGAAGTGGTGCTGCGTATGCACCCTTAATATCTTAGGAACACAGTGTCACTGACAGCACACACCAAGAAGTCAAATGCCATGATTTAGATCCATACAGTTCTACCAAGCATGCAATTCCATGCATGTTTACACAAAAGTATATCCTACAACATGCATTGGAGTGCACTCCAAATCTCTCAAGAAATCTGTACAAATGCCTCTTCCTTCCTTCCTTCATATTCCAGACTGCCCTTCAGCCTAATGGATTCCAGGGTGGTATATAGTAATAAAAATGCAATGCACGTAGTAATAAAAATGCAATGTAAGAACAATAGATCATCCCCCTTTGGGTACCATTAAAGCTGAGAATGGGTGGGGAAGCCCTGCAAAACTGCAGGCATTGATGCAATCATTTCAAATCCAGGGTAAAGAATGGTATCTTGACCTGGCACCAAAACGACTGCAGCATTTGTGCTTGGGGAAAAGGGACCGAAGACCTTAACACAGGCATAGAATGGTATGGGAAGAAGTGCTCCTTCAAATATTCTGGTCCTAAGCACTTTAAAGGTAAGTACAAGTGTGTTGAATTGGACATGCCAATGTTAAGGTAATATGGGTCGCTCTAGTTATACCAGTCAGAATTCTCAGAAACTGAAACTTCTGAGCTGTCTTCAAGGGACGTCCCACATCTCACATATTACAGTAATCCAGTTGGGAGGATCACTGTAGCAGCACCATTTAACTGCTAAGCTTGAATAAATGTATACAGTTACCCATACAGTACCCTGCTACGAATTCTCTAGATCCTTATATGAATCCTATTTTTATCCTACTTCATTGTCCTATCCTATATTATCTCTGTTTAATGAGCATTATGCAGCCTAACTAATAAAAGGGAGAAAGGAGGAATAGGAAGGCTGGGCATCACTAGATTTTGATACTGTCAAATAAAAGTCAGGTGGCAGGTTTCTCTCTGTTTAACACAGAGAAGTCTTTGTAATGCTAGTTGGCCAGAAGAATGCAGTCATCAAAGTCATCGTCACTTGGCTTAGACTGTTAAATAATTTTCTATCTTAGAATTATGGCAAGCAGCTGGGAGTCCTTTGCTTGCTATTTAAGAGGAGTGAATGCAATTGCTAAAA